AAACCTCAATGAGATATAGTTTGGAATAATAAACTTGGTTTTAGGGTCATAAATATGAGGTAGTTTGATGAATACTTGTAAAGCACAAGCTAATACTTGTGAAATACTCTAAATACTTGTAAATACTCTGGCTAAATACAGTGTAGTAGATCATTGCTGTGCTGAAAACACACACTGGGTGCTTCTGAAATGTGCTAATTAACAAGAGCCCATTTTCCCCTTATTCCTTCTAACTGCATTGTTTGCCTTACTATAAAATCATCAAGTGGAATTGCACAAATGTGAACATACGTTTTCTTTACATTTGGTAAAACTTCTCATTGGGAGACAACTTCATTTTTAAGCAGCTGAATTTTTTATTTGTCTTGGCTGATGTAACACTGTTTTAATTGCGAATCAAATAGTGGGGTGAAGTGTCAGAATTGCTAGTGTCCCTTCAGGCCCAAATATAGATGGTGACTGCGTATTCTTCCCCACATCTTCTACCTCCTATATACGGGTCAGGTTGCTTCAGCTAACAGAAACCTAATGAAGAGACACATCCCTCAAAAGAGGGATCTCCAAAAATGTAACTGGGATGATTACTAAAATTTTAACTGACACCTAGAAAGGAAAGTATTTTCTTTTTTACTGGATGAGCACAATTTTCAGATCTTTTCAGTAAGTCTTGGATTTTACTACAACTCTTTAAATAATTGTTACTATTTTGGGTTACTTCTGGCAATTCTCATGAAAAAGAATTTATAAAACAACAAACAGATAAGGCCTGGGAGCTTGATACAGACCATTACTAGCAGGGTATAAATAAATATATGTGATGGGGGAGGGCACTGGCTTTGTATCTTTGCTTCTTGTCTCCTTCCCTAAAATTTGTATGGAATCAAGGTAAAAATCACAAAATAGGAATTCTTACATGCACATGAGAAGAAGGAAGAAAGATCTTCCTGTTTTCTTCAAACAGAGTCACCCCTTGGATACACAAATGCCAGACATTTATTGATTGATTGATTGATTGATTGATTGACTGATTGATTTGTAGGGCCTCTGTCTATAAAAATTCTAATGTCTTTTAAAAATGTACTACACTACTCACATGGTCATGTATAGCATCTTAACAAAGTTAAAATAAGAAGTACAGGAGATACCTGTTTGTTTGTTGTCTTTTTAGAATCCATGAAGATTATTTTTAAGTTCAGGCTCCATCTCTCTCTTTTCAGACCTGGTGACTATCTCTTTATACTCCTCCTTGCTAAATGTATTAATTCTCCCATGAGAATAGAGTAGCAATTGTACTCACAATATTATGGCTCTTCAAATCTGGGTTGTATAAGAACCACATTGTTTTTGTTTTTGTCTCTGAAAATCTCCAGTACCATTTATTCCACCTATGGACTAAATGATGTTGGTCGTGTCATTACTCATGACTTGTATCACACACCCTACTGCCCATCCCATTCACCATGAATACTGGCCTCTATATACTCTCTCAAAGATTATTATTAGGCTTTGTTAATAACAGCCACAAATAAAAGTCTTACTCAATGAGAATCATCCATGTTCTCATCATGTTGGATTTATTATATGAAATTTTGAAGGGTACTTATACAATAGATATATCTTTCAACCATGCCTTCCCTTGAGTCTCTTAAGCTATAAGAATCCCCACATTTTTGAACTGTGATGTTTTTGAATGTAGATGAGCAATCTACCTTCTTCACATGACCACTATTAAGAAGGATTTGTAGGGAACATAAAGTAAGAAAAGTGATTTTCAAAAGGAAAATATAGTCCTTATCCAAAATACCTAAGATCCACACTAAGATCGTCCTGACATCACATGGATTAGAAGGGTCCTTTTCTTGTCCTAGAAAGATATAGGCGTGAACACCTGGAGGACTGCCTGCCACGTGGTACAGACTGCAACTGGGATGGAGCAATGATCATGGATGCCACTGTGAGGCAGGGAGGGATTCATCCAACAAAACTTCCCAGCATCCCTCACCATGCTCAGGCACTCTAGACTCAAGGGAAGTTTCATGAGCTTGCTGCTTCAGCCCCCAGGCTGGCCCAAAGACTGACTAATGCTTTCCTGATGCAAATATAAGTTTATCCAAATCAGCATATCAGCAGTACTCAGCTGGCAGCCCAGTTACCATACTGTACATTGAAAATGATCCATTTGTTTTGAATCACATCCTAGCTGCAGAACTTCAAAACCGTCGCACCAATAAAAGTTCTGCAAGACAGTCATTCAAGACAATGGGATACAGCAGAGGATGTCAAGTCAGTCTCACATTTATAAGAGGAGAGCAAGGAGCTTAGAGGTTAGGAAAGCTCCCCACAAAATGAGAACAGATGGAGGCCCCCAATGGGTTCTTCTCAAGATGTCACTGTCACAATCTCCTCAGTTTATAAAAATGTCGCTCTTCATGTCAGGGGCAACTTTGACTAAGTTAAGCATGTTGAGATGAAAGATTACCCTAGACTATGGGATGGACACAGTGGTCCTTGCAAAAGGAAGTGAGAAGAGTTGCAGTAAGGAAGAGAGCTGAAGACACTGTGCAGCTGCCTTTCAAAATACAATAAGGGAACATGAATGAAAGAACAGAGGCCTCTGAGAGATGAGAAAAGTCAGAGGACCAGACTCTCATCTACAACATCCAGAAGGAACACAGTCCCACCAAAACCTTAATTTTAGCCCAATAGAGCATGTGTTGGACTTCTGACCCAGAACTGTTACATAAGAAAATTTTCACTCTGTATCACAAAGAATAGGTCAACTAATATTTATCCTCGGAGAAATAATATTATAGGCTTTATAGTATATCCAATTATATTAGCCTATGTCAATGCTTTACAAAGATATCAAGAGTAAATAATACTATCAACGCCTCTACAAATTAAGGCATAGACAGATTGGAGAAGGAGTGATAGCTTGAATTCAAACTTAGTCATTATGACTCTAAAGTCCTACTGGGCATGATGTGCTAACACTTTCTACTTTGGGCCACTAAGATACCAAACCACAAATAACAAGTTCTGGAGAGATAAAGGACTGCGTATTTGCAATTAAGAAACCCAAAGTAAGCTTAGAAACTTCCTATTCACTCTGCTTCATTTCCTTTCTAGAAAAATCACTACCATAACACAGTTTTACCTAAAGAAAATAAATTTTTTTCATTATGATGTGGTTTGAACTTGCAGATGTTTTTCAAACATGTACTTTAAAAATTATAGAATTTAAAATGTATGTGCATGTGTGTATATCCTTTCCCCCAATATTTAGCCTGTGAAGTTTAAAAGCCTCCTCATGTAGGCCAATTCTATGTACAGGGTACCTCAGTTCACAAATACTTTTGTTTGCAAACAATTTGATTCACAAACAGAAGCATTTGCCTAAAATTTTGTTTTTGTTTCCAAACCCTGCAGCTGGTAACAAATGCAACTGCGGCCATCTTTTACACACAAAGAAGAACGTGGCCATTTTTTTAAAACTGTAGAACAAATTAAGTTCACTAAATGAGGCATTACTTATATGAGTCACATGAGAGAGGAGCCAGAAATACATGTTGAACTACGAGATCTGGTGTCCCCTGAGTGAGGCATGTGCCAAACCTCAGGCAGCTCTGCCATGACATTCCCAATCTTTTTCTTAGTGTGGAAAACATTGCCCTTCTCCTGGATTATAGGAAGGTTATTTTAATGTAAAGATCCATCCATTTTTCTCACTGAAGGACAGCTGTGACTCAATGTCACACCAAGGGTGTGCTATTTGCATGGATGGATGGATGTATGCTATCAAAACAGACCTGTGAAATTCACCATCATCAGCTATGACAATGCCACTGAGGATATTATTCTTCCAATAAAGTCTTCCCCATTTTGAGACTCATAAACGTTATTCTCCCTAGTTCTGAAATGCAGAATATTTCTTCTTTTCTTAAACAAATAGGTTGTGTATCCCTTACAGAACAAGAAGAGAATTAAGTTTGCTTTCTGAAAGAAAGTACAAACTTTTAGACAGAAGAATGAGGCCAGAAAGTTAGAATTTCACTTCATGGAGAGAAAAGAAACTTTGGTGGACTATTCTTATTTATCTCTAAAATAAACTTCTCTGTATCACAGAAAAGTGATATGCTAGCACCATCACACAGGATCACCAAAAATAGCCTTGCCAGATTGCATGAAATGAGACAGCTAATGGTGGGACAACTATGCCTTCTTGAATTCAACTTTGTAAATTTTCTTCATAAACCAAAGTAAGATAATGACTTTGGGAGTTAAACTATTCCAATCTATCTTTGTCCATACTTCATGAGGCCAGCACTCAATAGAAACTTACACCAAGTGAGCCAGAGTGAATGGAAATTTAAATTATTTAAGATTTCCTTGAAGGATCCATATACTGCATGAAATTTTAATACAGTGGTATTCTAGTGTAACAGGAACATTCATAGCTAAGAGAAATTTACAGCTGTGTATGAAAAGAATTGTACAAGGGTATTCATAGCAGTACTGCACGCAAAAGGAAGGATTGCCTGCAAATAACCCAAATGCCCATAATCAAGAAACTGGATACACTGATTATAATTTACTCAACAAATACAACACTATAGAGCAGTAAAAATGGATCAATTGCAATTACACATGTCAACATGCATGAATTTCACAATCATAAAAATACCTGAAAAAACCAAGTCAACAAGAGCACATATAATAGAATACCATTTGTACAAAGATCAAAAAAAATCAAAATTTGGGTGTAAATATATGTCTTAAAATGAGAACCAAAAATCATAAAAATAAAGTAGTCCTTACTCCTGAGCCATATTGAGGTACATGGTATATTTTAATTGCATTGGTAATATTTTATTTCTTAAACTGAGTACTCATTATTTTTAAATGTCTGCATATATGTATGCATAGTACATGAAAAATATTCTGTAATTCTAAAGTCGGTAGAATGAACTATTTGACTAATTGTTCCGCACACAACTGACCTCTATTGTCCAGGTTCACTGGCAAGCAAGTTGTCATGTAATAAGTTCTGCAGCATTGCCTCTGGGCAGAAGAGCCTGTGTGCACTGACCACGTGGTCCTCTGGTGCATCTGCCAACCACAGAGTCCAGTGGAGAATGCTGTGGGAGATTAGATGGAAGAGACAGCAGTGGGATTCTTACTCCTGGCCTGCATCTGACTATGTTGTAAGCAAAAAGTAAAAGTTAATGTATCCAAGTCTTCTTCAATTTTCTTTGAAATTCGGTAGACACAGCAATAAATCACTAGCACCATTAACTGAGAACGAGAGCAATAACGAAAGTCCATCTCTGCCCTCTGAAAGCCCAATTGGGAGACAGCGAGAGACAATTCAGAAGGGAAGGAATGTAGTTTCTCAACCTCCACCTTACCTCTCACTGTGCTTAAATATCTTTAGCCATATCCAGAGAACATCTCAGTGCCCTCATTTCAAAATAAGAAAACCCATTAGTAAACATGTCCTGAGCTCACACTGCGGGTGTAATGTTCCATTATTCACAAAGAGGCTGGTGTCAGTTGTGAAACAGAGTCTCCACTTTTAAGTTCCTGCAATGCAAAATAAAACATACACATGCTCCATTGGAACAAAGAGAAAAATCAATATCCTGCTTCCTGAACCACAGAACTACTAATTGCCTTTAAGTGAGTAATATATTTCAGTGAAGTAAGATGAGCTTGTTGCTTTCCCTGTTCAGAAGCTTACGGTATGCAAAACGGGAAACGGTCCTTCCATTTATTATGATTGCTTTAGATTAGGTAGAGTATAAAATGTGTATCTTGGAGGTAAAATAGTGAGGAAAGCAGGCATTCGTCAACAAAGGCACAAGGATAATTTTAAAAATAGATAAAGATGGGGCAACTGTAGAAACAATAGGCATTCGGAAATCATCAGAAATCATATCCTGGTTCCATGTAGACCATCTCTTTTTCAGTAACAAGACTGACACTAGGTGATAGCCTGCTCTTGGCTAGGTACTGCTGTAAACATTGTACATGTATTCACTCATTTAAACAACCACTGAGGTATTATAGATGTCTCACTGTTTTAAAATGAGGAAACAGAACCCAGAGGGTGTAACTAGCTGGTGCAAGCTCATACAGCTGCTGGGAGATGCAACCAATATTTAAATACACTTTTCCTATTGCATAAGCTTAACCACTGGACATCTCTAAGCAACCACCATCAGGTCTGCGTTGGTTTCTTTAAGTCCTCACACCTTCCAGGGGCCTACGTGAACCCTAAAGGTGAGACAAATTGCCTTACAAGTAATTCGAATATTCAGACCTTGAAGAATCACAGAAAGTAGTCTGAAGGGAATTACAGCAACAGAGAAGCAAGCTGGAAAGCCTGCCGGAAATCCTACCAGATGGCGTAATATTGTTCAAACAGTGTTTACTGGTCCCCTGTGTATCATATGGAGAGACAACAGCAGAGTGAGAAAGGAGAGGCCTGTGTGAGTGTAATGGATAATACAGGGCACAGAATGAGAAAGGGAAAAACAATAATGACTTCACAGTTGCTTCTAGAAGTTTATGAGCCTGCATATGATTCTCAGAAAATAATAAAATTACAAGGGACTAGAGATATTAAGCATTCTAACATCTGGTATATAAAGTTAAGAAGAGTGAGCCAGGAATGGTGCTGCATACCTATAATCCCATAAGTATGGGAGGCTGAGGAAGGAGGATCACAAGTTCCAACCCATCCTGGGCAATTTAGGAACTCAGCAAGACCCTGTCTCAAAATTTAAAGCAATAAAAAATAAAGAGGGCCAGAGAGGCATCTCAGTGTGAAAGGTCTTGTGTTCAATCCTCAGTACCATGAAAAAAAACAGAAAGAAATGCAGAGTAGATTAGGCAAGTTTTCTAAGTTATCCTAGGTATCCAGCCAACAAGAAAACTCAGATTCCGCCACTTAGGGTATTATGGCTTTTTCAATAAGCCTGGTTACAGTGCCTCATAAACAGTGTCACGTTTTGATCACCAGCATCTAAACTGTGTTTGAGTAATAGGGAGCGGAAGATTTCTATAGCTTCTAGACCACTTTCCTCAACCCATGTGAAGTTATTAATTACCTGTTGTCAGTGAAAACAACCCTTATAGGCAGCTGAAGAAATGGTTTGGAAATAAGAGTTTGAAGTTGAGTAAAAAACACAGGTGTTGCTTTGTTGAGTTAAAGCCTAACAAGAATCTCACCAGGATAAAAGGGTGGGAGGTTGGAAAAAGAAGAGGAAAAAGCCACAGCATCCTCTACTGGAACCTCAGAAAGGGGGAAAATCCAGAAAATGGCTCATTAAGCACCTCCAGATAGGGAACTCAGAACATTGAAGATTTGTAGGACTAAAGTTTGTCCACACACAATTCACATTTCGGAAAAGTAATTCGTGAGATTTTCTGCCTTCTATTTTTGTTTAAAGAAAAGTAAACATTTAGTCATTGTGGTTAAAATTAGAGAAAAGCCTAGGCTCTGAATCAGGCAGCAAGTTCAAATTAAGAGATCTTCTTGTTTCTGTGTTTCTGAAGCGGGTGGGGATAAATCCTAATGAATTTGTTAAAGGCTGATATTTGCATATTTGTGGTAGTGTGCTATAAATAGAATACAATGGATATAGGCACTTTATCTTAGCCTACTATTGCAATCAGCACTAAAAATGTCTTTACAGTTTGCTTTTAATAATGATAATTTATTTTTCAGAGGTCTTATAGATATTAGCCAGTGTTCCAAAACTGAAATATGTTGATTCCTCACTTGAACACTAATTTTCTCATTCTAGTTAGGAACCTATTTAATCCAGAAACTTGCAACATATCTTTTCATTGCTTGTTTTGCATGCCACCAGGCAAGGAACTATCAGGCTCTGAAGAATGACTGAAAAGATAAAGAGAAAAAGCATTACTGAAAACTTATTCAGGAAGTTCTTTGTTCCCCTTTCCATCTCCATCATTTTCAAATCCAGGTACATTTGTAGTAGGAATTTGTTCTGCGAAACCCTGCAGCAATATTTCTCTTCATTTCCATGGCAACAGCTCCCTATCAACTTCTGAAGGAACTTGCCTGTATTGTAAACAAACCTCTCTTGGCAATTCGCCTGTTTTCTTTCTCTATCTCATCTCCCATCTGCTCAAAGGCTTTGCTTCAAAAAGAAATAGGTTGCAGGTGTGTACTTTTTCTTTCTCTGCTCCCCTCCCCCTTTGTTTCTTAAAGAGATCTATCTCAAAGAATCTCAGCTAGTAACATTAACAATGCCACTTGTACGTAGCTGTGAACCAATATTTGGAGCATATCTACATAGAATATGATTGGTTCCATTTTAACACGGTCCCCTCAGAAATAGAAAGCAGACATTTAATAAAGTAAGACTCTAGAGGAGCAAAAAGTAAAAGCAAGCAAGCAAAAAAAAAAAAAAATCAAACAAAAAACAAAAACTAATGCGAGTCAAAAATGAATTTGAAATCAATTTTTTCAGGTTTTCGTTATAGATTAAAATGACTATTACAGAAGTAGTTTAATGACAAAAGCAGTCCTTCCAATAAGAAAAACAAGAAGAAAATGTCTTTTAGAAAAAAATTCTCTTATGATTAACACAGGTTTTTATATCTTCAAATTGAAGGGCTTCATTCAGTCTGTGGGGCTTGGAATTAGGTAAGTTATTTGTCCAAGGTAATAAATTTGACATTTTTACAAGTTCATTTCTCCACGCTACTCTTTTCTTACTCAGCATCAAAGCTATCAGATTTAAATGACTATTAGAAAAAACCCAATCATCCATCATTACTTCTAATATCAAAGAAATAAAAGTCAAGCTGGAGGGAAAAAAAGATAAATTTCCTTTACCAAACACCCAGTTGGAAGAGCAATAACTGGAAAAACAGTATTTAGCTACAATTATAGACAGATTTATGGGCAGATAAGCCATAGTCTCAGTTCTTTCCTGAAAATATTGATTTGCTTGTTTGTAATTTTTCTTTGCATTATTGAAAAAAGACCACTCTACTAATAATATATGAAGGAAAATAATTTCCTCATTTATTTTTTCATTCACAAATGAAAATTTATGTATATTTATGGGATGCAAAAATCATAATGCAAGGTTTTGATAATGAGTCACTCTGTAGTATCTTCAGAGTGCTATTCAGAGAATAACAAGAAAAAGTCTGTGTGTATTCAGAATAGGTGCAGTTTTTTGTTTTTCAAATATTTTGGGTTGAAGAGATTGATTGAATTTCTGGATTCAAAAAGAAAACTTTTGGGCCAGGAATGTGGCTCAGTAACACAGCGCCCGCCTGGCAAGCCTGAGGTCCTAAGTTCAGTTTCTGGTATCAAGAAAAAAGCACTTTTATATATAACTGTACTGTATTGTAGCAAATACTGGTTCAGGAGAAGACAGCTGAGCTACTAAGCCAATTGTTCCACTGCCAACCATCCTGTCCTCAACAGTTTCTGCAGGACTTTGCTAAGGGGACATAAAATGTAGCTACCACAAACTCACACTGCCTTTGTGTATACTCCAAATAAGGAGGAGAAAGTCCAAATTCTAAACAGAATATAAATTTCTCTGAGTTTATGACAGACCTACTGGAAAACAAATTAGCATTCTCAAGGCAACAGGAGCTGATGATGGTGTTAAATTAAAAGATGTAAAGAATCAGTCAGTGTTTGGGGCCAGATGTACTACTGGGAAATCATTTTCAAGACTGCTACAGTGATTCTGAAGAAGAGATCTGCCAGATCCAGGAGAAAACTGATAATGCTCTTGGCAAGCAGGTAAGAGAGATGACTTGCTTTTAGAAACCTCCACCCCCTTATCAGCTGTCTCTTCCTCCTCTGACAAGTACTGCTGGCCTGTCAGTAACTGCCAGCAGCCACCTTCTCTACCTCCTCCATTTTGTTTAATTTGAATTTCTATTAATGTCAGCTAAACCTATAGCTAATGAAGACATTTGCAGAATGTGTCTTGCACATTCCTCTCTGGAATTTTAAAACTGTACTGAGAACTCTACAGAACATCTGAATCTATGTTCTCTCTGTGCCTTTTGTCTCATTGTCTTAGTTACTTGTTTCATTGCTGAGACAAAATATCTGACACCCAAAGTTAAAGGGTAAAGGTTTGCTGCAGCTGAAGTCTGTAGAGGTTTCGTAGCTGACTTGTTCCAAAACAGGGGGCCATAGCAAAAGAGAAACGGTTCATAGCAGGCAGCAGGAAGAAGACAGCAAACAGTGGAACAGCAAAGCAGCAAACCATGACATCAGCCCGCTTTCTGTCCGTTATATTAGATGCAGGTAGGACTCAACCGTGGGATGGGCCTTCCCATTGTCCACACCCAGAACTAGGTCAGAATAATCAGTGGACAGATTTAGTAATCACACACCCTTGATCCTAGCATCACACATTTAATCCCAGTATCACACATTTACATCCAGCCATCTCCGCAAAGCCCCAGCTCTGGCCACATGAAGCTTTGGGGGGACATCTAACATAAACCATAGTACTCATCTTGCCATGTGTATTCATTCGAGAAGTATTTACTGAATGTTTACTTTGTGCCAGGCACTCTGCAGTATTTTGTGGGAGCAAGGATATAAACTTTGTCCTCATGCAGTGTGGTAGGTAATAGAGGATACAGGCTTTAATCACATTGGTAACTCCACATATGGAAACTTGGAGAACAGGACTGAGGACTGAACCCAGAGCATCCATACCAGTCTACATACCCAGCCTTTTTTTTTTTTTTTTTTTTTTTTTTGCTAGTGTATAAAATTAAGTCTTTTCCCTCCCTCCTTTTTCTCCTCCTTCTCCTCCTCTTCTTTCTTCACTGTCCTCCATCTTCATCCCTCCTCTCTCTTTATACACTTACCTCTTGCTTCCTTTTTTCCTTCTTTCCTTCCTTTTCTCTCTCCTTCCTTCATTAACTATGCATGGGATGTTGAAAAATCTGCGGTACACATATGTGAAAGACAAAAACAGAAAACATGCCAGCCTTGAGTGAGACCGCATTCAGTGAATATTCCCTATGTAACCAAAGCTTTCCTTGACCTCAACTTGGGAGTCCCTTCTGAGCAGGAATCTACCTAACTGGGGAGGCTGAAACAATAGCCTAAAAAAGGAAAATTACCAACAAGAGCAAGATTCCAACTCATACAAGTTAATTCAGTGCATCAGTGAATAAGGGCACACACATATGAGTTAAACTAAGGAAGGTTCCTGAAGAAAACAGATTTTTTAAAAAATCTGATTTTGAAGAGAAAAGAGTTGTAGAGTATCCAAGAAAAATGGAGAGATAGAATTCCTATAGATCGTTTCCTATGTACAATATTGGTATATTCAATGCTTAAAACTAATCACCTGTGAAGCAGAATCTTAAGATGGCCACCACGGCTCAGTGGAAAAATAGCAGAGAATAAAACCAAAGAATGTTTTTCCTTATTCTTTTTCAAGATCAAATGGGAGCACTAAAAAAATAAGAACATTTTCATTTGAAGGATAGGCAATAGACTCAATAATACATAAGCCCATTAAGAATCACATGGGAGAAATTTTCTTTCAAACTGTAAATCTCTTGATTTAAACTGAAAATTATTAATTTTGGCATCAAGCTTTATGTAATCTTTTCTGTACTGTAAAAGAGAAATTCAGCATTGTGATCAATAATCAGTTCACATATCATAACACTTTTAGACATCTCCCATAACTTTAAAATGTAGTTATGTTCCATTTTTTAGGCATTTCCTACCTGAAGGCACAAAACTAAATTTGCACTGGCTGTTTTTCAGGGTGTTTTCACCTCTTTTTAGATCAACACCTGCTAGTCTAGTCTTGTGTCTCTTTCACTATCTCAGATAGAATTTCACTGCTTAGAGGCCTTTGAAAGACAACAGATAACAAACACTCTTTGGTCCCTTGGATTTCAATAGAATAACCTGAAACTTCTTATCATGAAGGGCTAGGCAGACCATGATATTGGGAGGGGCTGAGGGTTCCCAGGTCCTAGTTCCATGAATAATTGGATTTCTTTTAAATACAAAGTAGGTTAAATTAAACACAAATTCATGCTGAAATCATGGTTTTCAACATCTATAATGACATGCCTAGGTCCTCCTATTTTGTTCATTTCAAACTTAGCAGAGTATTTATAGCCTGACTTATCCCTACACACAAGTAGCACACACAGAAGGGGACTGGCTAGACATCAAGGCATCAAAGGCTCTAGGAGACTACAGTGAGTTCATATATATGCACATTTTTCTGATTTCTTGATGAAGGGGGTTTTAACCAGCCCAGAACAAGTTGATTCTTCCAATCATCAACTCAATCAGGCATTGAAAGCACCCACCCATAGCCAGAGAGAACAAGCCATGTGCTTCCTTTGTACATCCAAGTTATATTATTAGATATTTGCAAAGACTTTTAGAAAAAGCCACTAGTCCTGCTAAAGGAGCTTTGGCTTTCAAATATTAACAAACACATATATGTGTGTTTAAAGGCTCCCTCTCAAAGAATGTAATATTTACTCAGCAGGTCATGATCTGCAGGAGTTAGTGCTTACAGAACTGTGCCTTGTAACATATATACCCACCATCCATAATAAATAGCCAAGGACCTTGCACATTCTAGGCACTTATTCTTTGTTGAGTGAATGAATGGTTGAGTTATCCCCTATCCTACTCAAGTTGTGATACTCAACAGTACATCCTGAGACTGGCTAGCATGAATAAATACACAGATACTAACCTGTATTTGTTTCTTTGCTGAGTACAAATGTCATTTGTCATGGTTTATTATATTTCTGGCACACTCAGTCAATGCTTCTCTAACTGGCCTGTGGCAAGTCAATTAACTTCTTTTAAATTCTTCTATTTTCGTAACAAGAATAGAGAATACAAATTGATTATATTCCTCAAAGAAGTATGCAGCTAAAAGAGCTATTTCCCAACAGGATAATACAAGCTAACAAAAGTGGAGCACTTGATAAATCCATAGAGACACAAAGCAGAGAGATGGTTTCCAGGAATGCAGAGAGAAGGTGAAACTGAGAGTTGTTTAATGGATATGCAGATTTTTCTGTAGAGATGAAAATACTTTGGGACTAGATAGAAGCAGTAATTGCACAACACTGCAATACACTAAATGCCATTGAATTTTACACTGAGGTGATTAATTTCATGGCATGTGAAATTCGATTCAATAAAAATTTGAGTCATAATATTTACAATTCTATAGCAAATCTTTGACAAGCTTCTGAATGTAGTATAGGAAATGTTGTCTGCATATTTCATGAAGTTCAACAATTGTACCAGAGTAGTTTCTAAGAAAATGAGCAAAGAACTAGAATGGACATCAATGATGAGAGGTGAGCTACTCTGATTTGATTTTGGCCCTGTAACTTGATATTACAGGACACTGCCTGACCAGCAATGAAGAATTACTCTTTGATCATCTTGAAAGGAAGCTAATATCCATGGTGCACACAGTATTCATAAGCAGCATTTTAGTCTTGGATCATAGTTTACTTGCATATATTCTGTGAAAGCAAGACTTTTTCAGAGTGAGCCCTGCTGATGCAGCACATTTGAATTTCATGAAACTTGCTTTTCATTAAATCAACACATATTTATTGATCTCTGTTCTATACAGCTTGTGTCCAGCACCAAGGAGTAAAAGTTTTCATTGTCATTATCTTATTATTTACAAAACTGAGCTTGTCAAACAGATGGTATCATATGATAATACTTGGGATTAAACAAACAAATGCAATATAACCCAATACTTATATAACTTTTGGCAGAATCCTTTGGCATTTATTATTCTTACAGCTACCCTGGGAGGAAGGAGAGTAGGATTATTTATTTCCACACTGTAAGATTAGAAAGCTTGAAGGACTCAATACTTAGGATAGGCAGGATTTGAATCCAGGTCTCAGATATCTAGACTTGTACAACTAAAAGCCAAAAGACTGGAGTTTTAATTATAATACTGCCACAAATTCTACTCCTTAGATTTCAACATCTTTCTCTCCTAAGTGAGATGATTGGGGGGCAGCTCAAACATGTTGGCTTTTAGAGCCTGCATTTACATCCTTTTAGCAAGTGAAAAGTTATATGCTCATTACCTAACTCTTGTTCTTGCCATTATTAATCCAAGTGCACCTTTTCCCTTTATATAACTCTTTCTTAGAGGCATTCACCCATGCTGTTTGAATGCTCACCATATAAAAATTATTTTGCAAATTATTTTCAACTAGGGTACCCTGAAAAAAGGATTTCCTCAGATTTTCAGCCTATAATATGGGAGCTTCTAAGGTCACACTGGTCCTGTCCGCAGACAGTATTCTTTTCTGCTTGCTGTATCCCTCACTGAATGTAACACTTTGGTCCTTGCAAACTGCCTTTCCATCTCTTGTCTCACTTGACATCGCTAGAATGAAATAGAGACCTTAACAAGTAGTACAGGGCAACAACTCAGTCTAAGCCACACTATCTCTCCTCAAACTAACAGAGCCCTACACCCAGTCTTATTGTTAGTCTACAAGGGTGTGACTGAGATAAGGCAGGGTGGGAACCTGACCCAGTGACAGCCAATCAGAAGAACTTTTGTCTGTGGATCTGACCAGGGTGATTCATCAGCCACCAATCCCAGAGGCTTTCAATGAGAGAACAAAAGTGCGCTATTGTCCCAAAAGCTGTGCTTCAGTTTATTTCCTTGTACAAAATATTTAAAAAGTTTAACTATCAAGAGCATCTTTAAAATTACCACAAAACAAAGTTCAAGGGAGAAGAATGAGAAAAAATAAACTAAGCATATTGAACCTAATGTCTCTAAAGTTACAGAGAGCAGAGACAAATACCTATATAAACCTATAAAAACCTATAAAAACCCCAAAAGAAGACTTCGGTAACTTCATTTATCTTAAATGTCAATGAAATCAGGTTAAAAAATATATAAATTACTAAGAGAATGATCAGATTATTCCAATCACAAATGCAGACTTAAGTATTGTCACTCTTTTTAGGTCCTCCCTAGTCCTTGGTTAACAGGGTTATTCAGTTTTCTCATCTACTGCTCCAAAAGATATTTAAAAAGATAAAATCAAGCAAGTTTTTCCTTGATTTCATGATTTTCTTTGATTTAATGTCTTTTATATTTACTGTCACGTAAATATGCCACACTGTACCTTAGATAGGAAAGTTTTACTGCAGAAAATGGCAGACATTGGAGATGTCATTGCCCTCTAAGGAGAAACCTCTAACTGCTTTTGTAGAGAACAGATTTCCAGAGGGAAAAGAAGCATTAAACAAAAAAAGAGAGAAAACAAAACAATAAATAAACAAAACCAACAATTCTTTGTCATATGCTGACATTATATTTAAGGTCTTACATCTGCTACTGATGGTCTCCTTTTAATTATTTTGTTATTTCATTTTATCACTGGATTAAAAAATAGTCAAACAAGTCTTGGAAAAGCAATCAGGAGACACATGTTCTAATCTGAAGCACAAAGCACTAGCACTGCCGTTCTATATCCTCAGCACAGTCACTTTTCATTTATTTAATCATTCACCACACGATTACTTATTAAGTGAGTAATATTTCCAAATGCTCTGTTGGGTGCTGGTTCTGGAAGTCTTCCAGGTTCAAAACAGCTTTTGAAAAAGGTTTAGCACACAAAGTCCCTCACACATAGATTTAGGAAATTTGGACTCTCTAATCCTGCTATCATGACTATATCTGTTTGGATAAGAAATTTGCAGCTGACCCAAACACAGCTACGCATCTACTTACAGCAGTTAATAAGGGAACTAATCAGATACGCCCAAAATGCTTCTTGATCCTGGATACTAACCAGTTGAGCCATTATAAGACTCTTTCATAAGGTTTAAACATTAAATATACAAAGGAAAGCAAGAAGTAGAGTGGGGTAAACTGAGAGAGATAACC